GGGAGTAAATGTATTTCTTTGGTGAAATTTTTAAAAATTTTTGAAACAAAATCAGAGTTTATTAAGAAAAGATTTCTATATAGATTTGTGTACAGGCATACAGATTCATGCATGCTAGGCAAAGTATCCACCATGGGGTTATACTTTTCCCAGAACTATATTTTTACAGGTATCCCAGAACTGGAATTTTACATGTAAATAAAATATGTCTATTGTTGCGGAATAATCTTTTTGTACACTGTGAATATGTGTCACTTGGATTGATTTAATAAAAAGCTGAGCAGCCAATAGCTAGGCAAGATTTTCGGAGTAGAGAGGATGCTGGGAAGAAAAAGGAAGAGACACCATGAGATGAAGAGCCAGCAGAATGGGCAATACAGTGATGAGGTAATAAAGCCATGGGGCACAAAGTAAATTAATAGAAATGCATCAATTTAATTTATAAGAACAAGTTAGAAACAAGCCTAAGCTATTGGCTGAGCTTTCGAAATTACTAAATCTCTGTGTTGTTATTTGGGAACAGGCTGGCAGGACAGACTCACTACATATGGTGTCCAACATCCAGCCATGTGTTTCCATATACAATGTGAAAAAACTTTTAAAAGGTTCCAAACACACAACAATGGAACCAAATGAGCTTCCTAGTCCTACAGTCTCCTGTGCAGGCTAAGGTACAGAGATATGTCTCCCAGCCACTGCCTGAGGGCTTGAGCCATAAATTGTGTGTTGGCTTAAGATTTTGCTCTTCAAGGAGGGGTCAAGAACATGACAGGAAAACCCTCAGAGACAGCTGACCTGAACTTGTGGGAGCTCACTATCCCTAGGCCATCAGCTGGGGAGCCTGTAGGGGACCAACCTATGCCCTCTGCATGTGGATGACAGTTGGTTAGCCTGGTCTGTTTGTGGGACCCCTGGCAGTGGGACCAGGATCAGGACCAAGTGCATGAACTGGCTTGTTGGAGCTCATTCCATATGGTGGGTTACCTTGCTCAGCCTTGATGCAGGGAGAATGATCTGGGTCCTGCCTCAACTGAACATGGCAGATTTTGTTGACTCCCCATGGGAGGTCTTATCCTTACTAAGGAATGGATGAGGAGTGGGTTGGGGGAAGTGGGGGGAGAGGGAAAGGGAACTGTGGTTGGTATGTAAAATAAATTAAAAAATAATAAAATTAAATAAATAAATTTTAAAAAGATTGTGCTCATGCAAACACAAAAAGGTTACAGATATACAGTAAAGCAGGTTCATATGGGGAAAAAACTTTAAACAGGTTACAGTGTGTTTAACAATGTATGTAAGCTTACAAAAAAGGAAAAAGGGTATAGAACAGTCATAAAAATAAATAAATAGTTTAAAAATATTAGAATAAGTGCTTTAAAGAAAATGTAAAGAAATAAAAGAAAGAATAAGCCATGTAGAGATGAGCAATACACAGGGAGTCTGGATCCTGTATATTATTGTGCTGTCTTTGAATTTTCTGATTGCTGATAAGCAAATGACAACTGCTAGATGACATAGCATTGTGAAAGGGACTGTGGAAATAAACCCACCTAGAAACTTAAGAATACCTTAACTTTAAAATGAAACTCAAAATTAATATTTTGCTTTTGTTTCCACAAAGGCTGTGGATTTGTTCAAGGTTACTAGAGATCAGATTTGATAGGGGAAGACCCCCTGAAAATCCTGGTTACAGACATAAAGAAACAAATTTAAAATAACTACAAGACAAGTGACATATATTTCACCTGCTCAGACATAAAACAAAAAGTCATCTTTGCCTGGCTTGTGTACAATGCACAGTCCATATTTGTGTTAATGCAGATATGCATCTTAACTTTGGAAGTTTATGTGTTTTCAGACCAAGGGAACCAAAAACCAATTAAAATGGGTGGCCCAGATGATCCAGCCTCTCAAGCGTGTTGCTGTTGAATTTCCCTCAGATTTCAGTTGTTTTAACTTATAAGAGCAAGTTGGAAATAAGCTTAAGCTGTCAGGAAAGCTTTCATAACTAATAAGTCTTTGTGTGGTTATTTATTTGGGAGCTGGCAGGTGGGACAGAAAAATCTACCTCAAGCCTATCTCAAGAAGACACATAGCAAAATCTACTTTTACTTCTTTTCATGATGTGCCTTAATAATATTAAGTAGTCTGGAAAATAAAGTTAGCTATGTCCAGTTCCTCAAGAAATTGAACAGAATTCAATCTTGTTTGTAATTCAAATAAAGTCAAAAAAAGAAATTAAACAGAATTACCAGATAATCCAGAAATTCCACTTCTACATATGTACCCCAAAATATTAAAGTGTCCCCAAAAGTATATTTGCATACCCAGGTTCACTGCAACATCATTTACAATAGCCAAAAAAATGAAAGACACCCAAATATCCATCAGTGGTTGAATAGATAAAGTGTGTGTGTGTGTGTGTGTGTGTGTGTGTGTGTGTGTGTGTGTGTGTGTTGTGTGTATACACACATATACCTCACCCATATATACAGTGTGTCCATGAAGTGTTTATGTAATTTACCCACATATATATTATCCAGTCTTTAACAAAAAGGAAACTCAAAAACATTACATTGCATATATAAATCTCAGGGACACTGTGCTAAATGAAATCTCATAAAAGGCAAACTTATATGAGTACATGTATTTGAGAAACTTGACAAATTCACAGAGACTGAGGTAGTATGGGGGTTGCCAGGGGCTAGGAGAAAGTAAGAATGGTTGTTTAGTGGTTATAGTTCCACCTTTGCATGACGAAACGAATTCTGGATTCATCATGGAGTACAGAGAGGCTCATGAGGCCACCTTCCTCATTGAGGATGTAAAAGCAGTTGACCCCCTGCCTGAGGATTTATAGACAGTTACTGGTTGCTGGGGGAGGAAAGGACATTTTGTTTCAGTGATGTGGACATTGGTAAGGTATCCGTGTTCTTGAGTAAAACTAAACACATTGGTTCACAAATAAAAACAAAAACATGGAAGTAGAGATAAACTGGAAAGAAGGAAGGGTTCAGTAGGGGTAGGAGAGGAACAGGAGAGGGTAATAAGGGGTGACTACGATAAAATACATCTGATAGGTGTATTGAAATGTAATATATGTTAATAAAAATAATAATAATTTTTAAAGTTCTGGATATTGATTGTAAACAATGCGAATAGATTCAATACTATTGAAATTCTATGTATACTGTGTAATAATTACCTCAAATAAAATTAAAAATAAAATGTCTGGGTTCCCCTAACCTAACTTATAATCTCATTGTTTGGTCTTTGTCTCTTGGCATCAATTCATGAAAATGTTCTAGTTAGTTCTATTCTTGTTTGAAATTGGACTAACCAAGAAAGTACACCCTACTGTAATCAAAAAAACAAACCTCAAGGATCATTAATGGTGCTATGATCATTAAGTAAAAAGTTATGTCTATATCAAACGAATACATAACACCATGTACTTTGCTTCTGTACATCATGTGCTAGGATCATACAAGTAATGTGGCCATAAAAGTAGTTAAATTCAATTATTAGGCATTGGGATATACGCATGTTGTCAGAATTTCACCTCATAAACTACCTGCTAATTGCAAAAGGAAGAAAAGTTTACCTTTTACAGCAGCGAGACCTGCTTGACATCATATGACTAAGTAGGTAATCTCTGCACTGCTTAATGTGGCATAACAAAACACGACCTTTTGCCTTAGTGCCAAAGGGTTAGAATGGATGTAATAAAGCCAGTAGTCTCAAGTTTCAGGTAATAGAGGAACAAGCCAAAGACTACATGGAAATACACTATATGAAAACTTATCCTGGTCTCATAAATAAGCTAATATTTTTTTTGGTTTTTCAAGACTGGGCTTCTCTGTATAGCTTCGGAGCCTATCATGGAACTCGCTCTGGAGATCAGGCTGGCCTCGAACTCACAGTGATCCGCCTGCCTCTGTTTCCTGAGTGCTGGGATTAAAGGCGTGCGCCACCAACGCCCGGCTAAATAGGCTAGTTTTTAATATGATCTAGGTTTTAAGTATTAGGTTCTTTTTACTTATTTTATGTATATGCACATTTTGCCTACATATATATCTAAGCATCATGTGTGCCTGAGTTCCTGCAAAATTCAGAGGAGGGCTTTGATTCCCCTGGAACAAGAGTCATTGATGGTTTCAGGTTGCCATGTAGGAGCTGGCAACCCAACTGTGTCCTCTGCAAGAACAGCAAGTGTTCTTAACCCCGGATCCATCTCTTCAGCCCCGTTAAGTATTGTTAAGTTTCTTACAATTGACATTAGTATTGTTAGCACAGAGAATGTTCTTGTTCTTTTCTAAATTATACTTTACTTTTTAAAATTATGTGTATGTCTATGAGAGGGTACGTGCACATGAGTGCAGATAACTTCATTACATGAAGCCCACACTCGGGTCTCTGAAAAAGCAGTCTGTGCACTTAACTGATGAGTCATCTCTACCTTCTTATGAGACACCTCATTAAGTGTATAGAGGATTTTCATAATGTCTATAACATACTACTATATTCTTTAGCAAAATAATGTGTGTGTTTACATACTCAGAGACAGATCAAGTAATTATGCCAGAACTTTATCAGTTGTCTAAGCCAGATCATGGGTATTCACAGGTCAATACTTTCAGCTCTATTTTGTTTGAATTTTTAAAGAATTAGCTGTAGAAAGTTATAAAGGAAAGAAAATAACAAAGCTCTCATTTTTATTTAAAGGCTATTAATGGACTTGCCATCCCATTCCACTCGATTTGCATATTCTAATAATAGTCTTATTTGCTTAGAATAATTCAGTGATCACAACAAAATAAAAAAGTTATTCAACAGCCTAGTGTGGTGGTGCACGTCTTTAATCCTAGCACTCAGGAGGCAGAGGCAGGGGGAGCTCTGTGAGTTCGAGGCCAGCCTGGTCTCCAGAGCGAGTACCAGGATAGGCTCCAAAGCTACACAAAGAAACCCTGTCTCAAAAAAACAAAAAAAAGAATACTCACTCTCCACAGACCCCTGGTACCTTCTTGCTGGTATATATCAATGAAGCTGCCAATCATGCTCCCTTGGAACAAACTTCCTTGAGCCTGCATTCGAATCTAAAAAAAAAAAGTGAACATTTAATTTTGACAGAGAAAACCAAAATGAAACAGTTCACTCCTTTAAAAAGTAATGAATTATTTTTAAAACTCTGCTATTATGATGAAATTAATGAATTAAATTGTACAGGAAAATATAATTTGGGCCAAAGTATATTCTATAAAGGTTTTCATTAGGCCTCACATTTCCCATAGTAGATCTCTTTTCTGGAGTTGGACAATAACAAGTATTCAATAAAATGTAAGTAGTTTGAACCAGGAGTGGTGGCACAGGATTTTAATCCTAGCACTCAGGAGGCAGAGACAGGTGGATCTCTTTGAGTTCAAGGCCCGCCAAGACTACACAGTGAGTTCCAGGACAGTCATGGCTACACAGTAAGACCCTGTTTAAAAAAAAAAAAAAACATGTAATTAGTTTAGTAAGAAATTAGGGACTACTCAAATGCCAAAAGCCAACATTGACAACCTATTGGTTACAAAAATGATGATGCATCCATTTAACAGAATACAGCAGAGCCCTAACATTTTCCCCTAAAGTATTTGTAGACTTCAGAAAGTATTAAAAATGTGCTGCAAAGCAATATATACAATTCTTACCAAAAACATGAAAAGTTTAAAAAAACTATAAGCACAGTATGAAATCTAGAGTTGCATGCATATGCAAATATTAGCAGAGGTTTACCTATGAACGTGGAGCCTATAAATTAGCATTGTTCTCTTTTGAGTCCAATTCCTAGAACTCATGATCAAAAGAGAGCTGATTCCAAAAGGTTTGCTCTTACCTCCACATGTACATACATGTGCCCCCCATACAAAAGAGTAATGATGGTGATAAATTTAATTTGGGGGCTAAAGAGACAACTCAGTGATTCAGAGCACTGGCTGTTATTCCAGAGGACATGGGTTTGGTTCTCAACACCAACATGGCAGTTCACAACTCTTCTTAACTACACGTCAGGGGATCCAACCCTCTTCAGGTTCTATGGGCACTAGGCACATGTGGCACATGTGCATACAATCAGGCAAAGCACACATACACAAAAAATAAATATTTTTATTTTAATTTTCTTTCTTTTTTTTTCTTTCTTCTTCTTCTTCTTCTTCTTTTTTTTTTTGAAACAGGGTTTCTCTGTGTAACCAGGGCTGTCCTGAACTCATTCTGTAGACCAGGCTAGCCTTTAACTAGGAGATCCACCTGCCTCTGCTTCCTGAGTACTGGGATTACCGTATGTGCAAACACCATCTGGGCAATTTCATTTTTAAAAAGAATGATCATTTATATCAGACAACTAATGATCAAAATAATCTGCACTTTTATATTTGTGGATTCAACCAATCTCAATTGAAAAATACTTGGAAAAAACTGCATTTGTACTGAACATATGTAGAATTTTCCTTGTCATTATTTGTGGAATAATAATAAAATAAGCATATTTATTTATGTTTATATTATAGTAAAAATCAAAACTAATGTAAAGTGGATTTAAAATATCTAAGGGAACACACAAAGGTTATGCAGAAATACTGTTTCATTCTATGTAAGGGACTTGAGCATGCAAAGATTTTGTTATTAACTAGGGCAAAGTCCTGGAAGAAACCCTTATAGATTGGGCTGAGTATTCTCTTATGTATCATAAACTCTGCTATAATTGCTGTAAGGTGAATCTCCCACCACTTGGTTTGCATTATGCTGGATCCTGACTTGTACTTTCTCTTATTATAAGCAACGAACTTGAATTTATTCTCGTGACTCAGGCCTGGAGAAATGGCTTGGCAATTAAGAGTGCTTGCTGCTCTTCTAGAGGACCTAGGTCCAATTCCAGCACCCACATGGTAGCTCACAACTGACTATAACTCTAGTTCCAGGACGCAGATGTAAGAATACTTCGTGCAGGTGGTACACAGACATATGTGCAGGCAAAACACCCACACACATAATGTACTATGTTTTTTTTATGTTTTAAACTTTTAAATTCATGGTTGTAAATACCTGTATTCCCAGTAAGGCAGGAGGACCAGGAATTCAAGGACATCCATTGCTACTTATTGAGTTCAAAGCTACAATGGGCTAGATGAGATTCTGTCTCAGAAAAAACAAACAAAAATCCTAATTGTGGTTCCCTCGAATAGTTTAATCATACATTTAGAGATTTAGTAATTAAGAAGGAAATTTTTACCATTTGTCAGATAAAGCTGAAGGCTGGCAGTAACATAAGTGTTTCATTTTGTGATTGATAAAACATTAAAGCAGTCCAATCACATTCTTATCAATCAGCACAAGCCAAGATATATCACACTGAAAGCCAAAGCTCATCCTTAACAAAAATGTGGACAAGATAAGGAAAGACAGAAACAGTATAAATTTTTTAACAAACTTTTTTGTTTTTTAATCTATTGATTTTTATTTTATTTACATTGGTGTTTTGCCATGGGTGTCCAGTCCATTGGAACTGGAGTTACAGACACTTGGGAGCTGCCATGTGGGTGCTAGGAATTGAACCTGGGGTACTCTGGGAAGAGCAGTCAGTGCTCTTAACCACTAAGCCATTTCTCCAGCCCAGAAACAGTATAAATTTAAGGTAAAGCAGTTATGAAAAGAAACTTCTCCAAAAACCTCTACCTCAATCTATCTATCCTTTTGATGTCCCAGTTTATGCTACAGGTCAACACACCATCTGAAGATTTGGAATAGATAGGGGATATGTTTTGGTTTTGTAAAATGCAAAAGGGGCTATTAGAAACACATATTCATTCTCATACCACTTGGAGAATACAAACAGTAAGGAATCTAGAAATCAATTCCCTAGAACTCCACAGCTTTGAAAATAACCTAAAGGGGATTGCAAATCCCAGCCTGAAAAACAATGGATTAACACCTATCACATTAAACTATTTTTGAACATCTACTATGAAGCATAATGCTATACAAGTTTACATATATTATCTCTAATTCTTAACATTTTTATGCTATAAGCACCACATTATCTTCATTTCAAAACAAAAATGAATGCGACCTTGCATAGTTCAGAGATTTGCCCAGGAATTTAGAACAATGGACAGTGTAAGAATCTGAGCTCAAATCCAAGTTAAAGCTGTGGTCTTTCAACTCCCATGGCCGACATCTCTCTTACCTTTAGAACATCAGTGGGGTTGGCTATAGTAGATGAAATCACTCCTGACACTACCCCACAGATCATATTAATTAGGAGAGTTTCATCTGTAAAAAATGTAAAATAAATAAATAGTCATTTTACTCAGTACTAGTTTTTCAGAGTACCTGAGATACAGTATGAAGGAAATCCTTTTTAGAGAGATGACTTAACTTCTCAGGAGGCAGAGGCAGTCAGATCTCTGTGAGTTCGAGGCCAGCCTGGTCTCCAGAGCGAGTGCCAGGATAGGCTCCAAAGCTATACAGAGAAACCCTGTCTCGAAAAAAAAATGAACTTCAAGTTTATCCAAGTAAAGACTCTCGGATATTGGTATACCATCCTAATTTATACAAAATATATACACATTATAAAATATAAGCCATTATTTTCTTAAGAACATTATTTTCAAGACATCATATTCTTCTACATAATTGTCAGTATAGTACATAAATTAGAATGTGACATTTTCTTTTCAACCACTTCAAACATATAATGCATCTGATTTTAAGTCTTTTAAATTTTTGAGACTAAATTTATTGTTTATTTTGTTCTGCTTTTTGGTTTTTCAAGACAGAGATTCTCTTTGTAACAGCCATGACTGTCCTGGAACTCAGTCTGTAGACCAGACTGGCCTGCCTCTGCCACCCAAGTGCTGGGGATTAAAGGCATGCACCACCACTGCCTAAGATTATAATTTAATTACAACATTTCTCCCTTCTCTTTCCTCCCTCCAAAATCTTCCATATACCCCTCCCTGTTCTTAAAATTTATGATCTCTTTTTTCACTAATTGTTATTATATATTAATACGTATATACATATATTCCTAAATATAACCTATTCAGTCCCAATAATGTTACTTGTATGTGTGTTTTCAGGGATAGGAATTTGGCAGTGGGCAACCAATTGGTGAGCTCTTACCTGGGGAAGACCACCTCTCATGCTCCCAGCTTTCTGTAGTGGCCTATAGTTCTTTGTGTAGGGTTGATGCCTCGTGGGCTTTCCCCTGTCCAGTTTGGCATACTAGTTGGTGACATCCTTGATCAACTTTTAATTCTTTTTATGGATAGTCAACTTTAAAGACTTAATAACCAGATGCCAAAAGATATAACCTTATGTGTAATAAAGTTATCTAAATATTAATGTTGAATGGCTTTATGTCTCTCCTAGCCTCCATTTTTGTACAGAAGGCTTCTGTAGTCAAATATGAAAAAGCAGCAGCATAATTCCTGGCATAGGATGGGGAATGGAGAGACTTACACATGCTAGTCCAGCACTCTGCTACTGAGTTATACCCTCAGGTCTAAGAATTTAGAACTAAATTCCCTCAGCTAGAAACAAGAAGACATAACAGGACATAGTGTTCTACAGAGAAAATCCAGTCTTCACCATTCCTTCTTGTGAAGATCCTATAAAAAGGAAATTAGTAAACCCACGTGAATAATCCATGAAAGGAAAATATTTTCAGGAGAGATGAAAGTGAATCCTTCAGGATTCCCACTGAAGGGGCTCCAGAAAACGCTGATTTAGAATAAAAAATATTGCTTCAAGAGATACTGCTAACATGAAGTGTCTCCAGCTTTCCCAACCATCCAGTAACCCAGACCAATGATAAAATATCCATCCATGCAAGGATCAGGATCAAATGAAAAAACATACAACAACTTTGCATGTGGAGAAAGTGGCCATAGATACATCAGAATCCAGACTAGAACAGACTAAAACTTATCTACCTACCAAAGGCTCATCAAAATTGCCATCCAGAAAATGCCTTCAAGTCCTCTAACTAATAAAGAAAACATCCGTTTTCAGGACATAGTTGTTTTAGGCTTCTTCAAGAATGACAAGTTTTTTAAGAATTATTTTAGGGGCTACAGAGATGGTGCAATGGTTAAGAGCAATGATTGCTCTTCCAGAGGATCAGGTTCAATTCCCAGCACCACATGGCAGCTCACAGCTGTCTGTAAGTCCAGGATCCAACACCCTCACATAGACATACATGCAAACAAAACAACAATAAAACAAAAATAAGTATTTTTTAAAAAAATAATTATTACTTTAAGCCAGGGGATGGTGGTACATGCCTTTAATATCAGTACTCAAGAGACAAAGACAGGTGGATTTCTGAGTTCAAAGGCAGCCTGGTCTACAAAAAGAGTTCCAGGATAGCCAGGGCTGTTTCACAAAGAAACCCTGTCTTGAAAAATCAAAAACCAAAACAACAAAAAAGAATAATTATTTTGGGGGAGGACATACACCATGACATATGTGTGGAGATCAGAATTCAACTTTATGGAAGGTGTTCACTCCTTCTACCTTTGCATAGGCTCCAGGTATCAAACTCCAGTAGTCACACTTGCAAGAATTTACCCATTAAGCAATCTTGGCAGTCAACAAGGTTTTTAGTTGACAGTAAAAGATAAATTTAAAGAGCAGGTGCCTCTAACTCATGCATCCCCTCTGTAGTGATTTAGCCCAAGTAAAACACAAGTTCACTTTATCCATGCAGTGACTGTCTTTCATTCTCTGGCATCATGAGATAAACATTTCACACTAAGCATGATTTCAACAATTCCTTTGAGGATAACCTCAAAAGAGAGTTGAGCATACTGACCTTCTAAACGCTCTACAAATAATCGTTTCAAGCTTTGGTAAATACCAATTTTGATGGTGCCATACGATGCCTGTCTTAGTAAAGCAGGAGCAATTCTGCCCAAAAAAAGAGAGAGAGAGAGAGAGAGAAAAGTTAATTTTATTTCCCATGCATGTGTAGATGTTAAAATTCCTTTATCTGTATCTTTCTAAGCAATATAGCATGCACTTTTTTTCACTCACCCAAGAAAAACTGAAAAAGAAAGCTCATATCCCAGGTCATAAAATAAACATCAACAAAGCTAAAAAACTGAAATTATACAGAATATATTCTCTGGCCATAGTGGAAGCAAGGTGGAAACTGATAAGGATGATGCTCAAACACTTGGAAATCAAACAATACACATCCAAACCAACATATTTGTTAGAGAAAGCTGCAAAAGAATTTTTTCAATGTATAGATATAAATAAAATTGCAAATAAATCCTCTGAAATACATGAGACAACAACAATTCAAGAAAAAGACGCCATGAATATGGAGAGAGCAAAGAGATACTTGGGAATGGGTGGGGAAAGAAAGGCAAGGAGGAAAGTAGAGAATTAGAATTCCAACAATTTATATATTACAAAAAATACAAAAAGTCACGGGAAACAGCCAGGTCTGTAACCCCAGCTGCTACTTGCAGGCTAAGGTAGGAGGAGGAGGAGTTCCAGGCCTGCCTGAACTAAGAGGAAAAGGCAAGCCTGAGCAGCTTAGTATGACACTCTCTTATATAAAAAGTAAAAAAGGAAGACTAGGAACCACACAGATACAGCACCATGTGTTAGGTAGGCCCTAGGTTCAATCACCAATATTAGAAAACAGGGGTGGGGGTGAAGAATATGGAGCCAAGTGCTGGCTTCAGCAGCACATATACTAAAATTGGAATGATACAGAGAAAATTAGCGTGGCCCCTACACAAGGATGACATGCAAATTCGTGAAGCATTCCATATTTTAAAAAAAAAAAAGAATATGGAGCCAAAGCATAGGTGAGACTATATAATTTATAGTCAAATGCTTACCCTAGAAGAGGAATGTCCCTAGAAGACAACTTATAGAACTATGAAAACTTAATTCCTGCTATTTATAAGCCACCAAGTGCATAGTACTTTGTTACAGTGGCCCAAACTAACAGTATTAAAATTTTACAAAATTAATCATGGGCTTTTTCTAATTAAGTTTGATTTGGTCTGATTTGGATTGCTGCATTGGCAGAGAGGCTTATCAGGGTGTAGAAACTTTTCATAGAGTTTTTAAATTTTTCATAGTTTGTTTACTTTTTTTTTCTTTTTTTTTCTTTGGTTTTTCAAGACAGGGTTTCTCTGTGTAGTTTTGGAGCCTATCCTGGCACTCGCTCTGGAGACCAGGCTGGCCTCGAATTCACAGAGATCCGCCTGCCTCTGCCTCCCGAATGCTGGGATTAAAGGCGTGCGCCACCAACGTCCAGCAGTTTGTTTACTTTTATTTTACAGACATGAGTATTTTGCCTATAAGTATGTCCATGCATTATGCGCATGCAGTGCCCATAGAGGCCAGAGGAGGGCAGTAGTTAGTCACCATGCGGGTGCTGGAAATCAAACCCAGGTCCTATGGAAGAGCAGCCAGTGCTCTTAACTACTGCGCCATCTCTCTACCCCTACTTTTCTTAAAATTCAAAAAATAAAAATTCCCAGCCCAAACAAGTTTACTGAAGAACTCCATAAAACCGTGGAAGAATGAACATTAATCTCACACAATCTCCCCAGAAAACAGAAGAGGAAATGTTTCCCCAATCATTTTGGCTAGTATTAACTGGATAGCAAAAACCTGACAAAAATAATACAAACAAAATCCACAGGCCTATATCACTCATGAACTTAGATGCAAAAGTCCTTTAGAAAAAATAAACAAATTGAATATAGCAGTATACAAAAGAGTTAAGACACTAACCCACACCTCATAGGTTAAAAAAAATCGACCTTTATTTCCTAACAACTGCAGATACATCTTTAACCCGATGAAAAAGGAAGCAATAGCGCCAAGATCTCAACCTACTTAAATTCTGCTCATAAACTGAACATGTTCTCACTCGTGCCTCCTTTGAGATTCATCCAAATTGCAGAACTATACTTTAGAAGATATAAATAGAAATAAAGCAACAGCTCAAATGGTTAGGATTGAAGAAGAAAAAAACGGATGACTAAATATGCATATTTCTGACTCTATTACTTGCATCAGGAAAAGAATATTGAGGATATCTATGCTAATGAAAGAAAAAGCCTAAAGAAATGATCCATTTACTTCAGGATGAGGATCTATTGGTTTGGGTTTAGGGGATTCCACCCCCCCCCAAGAAAACTATATTTTAAATAAGCCCAACCCAAGCTACTGGTAAAATTGATTTCCATCCTCTCCATAATACTGGTAGCCTAGATTTAGGATGGCCTAGGAAATCAGCAGCAGGGGAACTTCAAACTGGACAATAAATCATAAACTGATGGGTAAGCAAAGGTGGGAAAAAGATTCTCCCTTTTTCCTATTCTGCATGCCTATTTAATCTGCCAGAATAATATTTTTTTTCACAAAGAAAATCTTAAAGGAAGCCGGTGTTAGCCAAATCAGGAAAATTCTCACAAGAATGTATACAGCTGATTGGTGCTGCTTTTCCAGAAGCTATCAATGAATGTCAGGAAGCCAGAAAAAAAGCTTATGTTGTAAAGATATTATCCATTTTCACATTTATTACATACAGCCGGATTAACACAACATCCAAAGCTCAAGACTTAAAAGCAGATAAAATCTACAAGAGCCCACCAATAGAGAATTACAAATCAAAATGGTTAGTGTGAACGATGGAAACTATTGCGCAGTTGTTCATGATATAAGGAAAGAAGCCAGACTCACCCTGAATACAGAGCCAAAATCCCTTCTTCTTTATAGATTCGGAACAAGGCATGAAACATCCCTCTATATTTTATTTCTTTGAAACGGACATCGATGCTCTGGCCTTGTACTTGCAGCCGGGTTTTAGTAAGGTCCACAGGGAAAGTGCCTACAACAGAACACACTCATAAGTATTTACAAAGAACACAGTTACGTTTGGCTAACTATAAGGCAATGACAATATTGGAAATCTAAGACAGGGTCCTTTTCATAATGCTCAGGTATCTACTACAACACCACTGTCAGAGGGTAAAGGCTAGAAGTGAAGTGAAATGCACTAACCTCTCTAAGAAGCACAACTTACCACACAGTATACCTGACACTTTCTGCCAGAAATGCAAAGAAGTATAGATGTTTCTTTCACTCTGTCTGTAACATATCAATGCTAATTGGCATTTATTAGTCTTCTCCTCCCATCCTCTCCCACCTCAAATCTCCCTATCTCTCCCTCATAAAATCTCCTCACATTATCACAAGCACAGGAGGGGTGTTAGCTGTGTGTTTTCTTACAATTTCATAATATTATGAGAAAAACTGGCAAAATCTCACTTGGTTCTTCTCACCATGGTGCCTTGAATATTTCAGGAGTAATACCAGAAGAGCACTCAAGCCATTATTTTTTTTAATTATGTCTTACTTGTGTGTATGTATATGTATGTGTGTGGGTACATTTGCCATGGCTCATGTATGGAGGTCAGAGGACAACCTACAGGAGTTGGTTCTGTCCTTCAACCACATGGGTCCCAGGGACCAAATTCATGTCCATCAAGCTTGATAGCATACATCTTTACCTGCCGAGCCATCTCGTCATCCCTAGCAGGGTTCTTCAATAAAACTCCCTTTTCTTATCTCAGCACATACAAGTGGCTGTTGCATGAACAAAATGGATTTTAAGAAAGATTTCAAGATCTAAAACTAACAAGTTCTTTACATATGTAGTTCTGAACTTTTGTGACCTGGATAGCATAAGACCAGAGTATATACCAAGAAAGTCAACAAACACTGATGGATTGTAGACACTTAGGAACCATTTATAGAAAAGAAAAATCTGGAAAATGAAAAGTCACAATCTAAAAATATTTCAAAATTTAAATCAAAACAGAAATGACTCTTGTTTGATCTTCTTTGCTTCTAAAATGGAAGAGGGATTTGCAAAAAAAAAAAGCCTGTATAAGTAGAATAATATAACCTTAGCATAAATGAAAACCCATTAGTACAGGAATACACAGAAACCACTATTATATATAGCCCTTTATGATTATGCATATTTGGCTTGGAAAAAATTAACAAATCACTAAGCTATCAAAAAATTTCAAAATTTGACTCCTTATCCTCATTTGCCTTATCATTACTAGTACCTTCTCAGGAATATTACTTGATAGGTATGCAACAATAATTCTTTGGTTTTTCAAGACAGGGTTTCTCTATGTAACATCCCTGGTTGTCCTGGATCTCACTTCATAGACAAAGCTGCCCTTGAACTCAGAGATCCTCCTGCCTCTGCCTCCCGGGTGCCACCACCACCTGGTGCAACAATAATTTTTAAAACAAACATGATGATACTCTTTTTATTTGTTCTCTGGTTTTCTCCAAAAATAATTGGTACCATAAATAACCACCTGTGGCATAAAACTCATATTTGCCATCATTTTTTTTCAGATTCTTACCGAACTCAGCAACAATAGAGGCAAGGCCGCCATACACAAAAGGTTTCCAGTTCAGACCAGACATCTCATGGCTTAAAGTGGAACTTGCCTGATGCTAAAAATAAACACGAATTAGAACAAGGCACAAGAACAAAGAGAATATTGGTTAACACTTGATTTTATGATTGGAATCAACAAAAGTAGCCCATCAAACACATGTAGAGGAAAAAATAAAAACCACCGAGTGGAATGAGACAAAATGGAGAGAGTCCTGTTTCATGTGCTAGATGAACATGAGTTCATTCTTTAATGTCATACTTTAGGGTACTTTAGGTGTATAGTCGCTCAAAAAATCAACATGTATCCTTCATTCTCTCTAATTTAATTTTCCACTCTTCCCCACCCAAAAAAAGCTTCAGCCCATCCACCACACCCATCTGTGACATTCATCCAGACAATCAGGTGTCAAGGAAACTGGAATGCCAGTTCCATAGGCTGAGGCATCTTATAAAAGCAGTTCGTGGTAGTTAGCTTGATTCAGGCACAAAGCACAAGCTCCCACCACTCCCCACTAATGTTCTCAGCCCTCTCAGCTCTACACTGAAATTCAGCATCCCACACCAAAGCAGCTACTCAGTGAGACACATGCTGAGCTAAGGAGCAATTCACCTTGCTTCTGGCTCCTGGAGAAATGACAGCAATGTGGATATATCACACTTCTGACACTGAATATCATCCATCCAGTGATCTCTGAACTGTAATAAGATGTCCAAGTACTACAACTTTTATGCTAGAATTCTTTAATAATGTACTTCTGTCTTCAGCCCTTATTACTTTTTCCCATCTTTACATCAAATCCTTCTTAGATCTGTCCTAAAAATCTCCAGTTTTGCTGGGGCAGTGGTGGCACATGCCTTTGCAGAGGCAGAGGCAGAGACAGGCAGAGTTTGAGGCCAGCCTGTTTAACAGAGTGAGTTCCAGGACAGCCAGAGCTACAAAGTGAAACCCTGTCTTGAAAAACAAAAACAAACAAACAAAAAAACTTCAGTTTATTTTTCGGCCGTTCTCAGCTTCTTCACTCGTGGATTTGCTTTTCCACAACTAGGCAAATATTTGTCAAATTGTAGCATGTACCAGAATCACCTAAAAGGTTATTAAAACATGAACTGCCAAGGCTCTCCCCTTAGCCGTGCCCTGAGAATCTGCAAGGTCTCAAAGAAGACTGATGCTTAAAGAACTACTGCTGTGGGCATCACCTGCTAAATACTGAATCACTTGGAAACACTTTTTCTTAAAAGAATCTCAGATTGCCTAGAAATATTTCCTTCTTTTTCAGAGCTTCAAAGTATGTATACTTCCTGATTTAAAAAGAGTTTACAGTCAAAAAGGAATACTCTGAAATCAGATCATCTAACATTGAATCATGGCTCCAGATTTGTATCTTGACTATCACTTACTAGCTGTGGCTCTGGGAAAGTTATTCAATCATTATCTGCCTCCATTTTCTGAAACCGATGCTGATATCATAGGGTTGCTGTATTGTATACAAATAATACATATTTAACACCCAGAAAAATCCCTGAAACTTTGTTCAATAAGTTACCTAGTTATTACTACACTGCTGAATTTACATTTTTAATAGATAGCATTTGCCGGCCATCTTCCCCTTGCCAATTTGGGTTAGCACTGTTGAGCCACTGTCTGTTCTTAAAGGAAACAGCATTTTTATTTACTTTTTACAAAAGTAATTCTCTGAAACAAAGCAAAGAGCAATTTTCCCGAGAGGCTAGCAAGTATGAAGATAAATGTCTTAGTTCCATACTACAAAAATAATTGTGGAAGCTTCCATTCAAACATAGTATATATTACATATGTGAAAGATGTTCCTCTTGGGGGAAAGTTCATTAAAACTCTAAAGAGAAAAGTTGGAAATTTTAGGAAAAACAGGACTATGGCATACCTCTTAAATTTATAAGAAAAATAAATTTTAAGTCAGACATGGTAGCACATGCCTGTAATTCCAGTAGTTCAAAGTCATCCTCTCCTACATAGGGAGTTTGAGACCAGCCTGACCTATATAAGACCCTGTCTCCAAAAGAACACACACAAAAGAGGGGCGGGGAACACTCTCTGGTGTCAAATGTAGAGATTTCCCTAAATAGCCTTTGATATTTCAAATGTCTGCTGTGCTCTCCCCCGGACTTTTCCTTTACAACTTCATGCATCCTTTCTCAGTACAGAAAAAAATATTCTACCACAACTTTAGTAGCTACTACTCCATGTTCTAAAAAATATTTAGTGTTTTACTATTATTTCTGTGTGTATATAAGTGTTTGCTTATGTGTATGTCTCAGCACCCCATGCATGCCTGATGAGCACAAAGGCCAGAAGAGGGTGTTTGATCCCCTGGAACTGGTTGCAGATGGTTGTGAGCTGCCATGTGGGTGTTGGAACTTGAACCTGGGGCCTCTGCCAGAGCAGCTACTGCTCTTAATAGCTAAGCCCTCTCCTCCGGCCCTCTACCCAATCTTTTTTTTTGGTTTTTGAGACAGGGTTTCTCTGTGTAGCTTTGGAGCCTATCCTGGCACTCGCTCTGGGGACCAGGCTGGCCTCAAACTCACAGAGATCCGCCTGCCTCTGCCTCCTGAGTGCTGCCTCTACCCAATCTTTTAATGAGGAAAATGTGCTCAGGGTTCAGGGAGCAATACCAAATCACTAAAAGTTAGGGACAGAGTCAAACTAGAAAACAGAAAGATCAGTCACTGGATCTTAGATCAGAGGTTTTCCAAAGAAGTTTTCACAATTCAGAGGTAATAGGAAAACAAAACAAAACCTAGGCTGCTTTCTTTTTTTCAGTTTTACATATGCCATTTAAATGACTATTAAATCATATTGTTTATCCTTGGAGCACTGACAAATCACCTCTTTTACAAAAACTGATAATGGTAGTTGATAATATTTAGTCTCTTTACTTGGCAAAATAAGCATAGTGATCTGTATCTGATTCTGCTCCACCATATTTTCATTTAAATTCCATTAGTCTATAAAACTATACAAGTCTGTAGAAGACTAACTAAAACCAACACTGTCCCTTTACCACATCTCTAGTCACAGCTGATAGTAAAATCTTTCACTACAATGTTAGAAATCAAAGTCATGAAAGAAATTCTGTATCTCCTTCCATTGGACTTCACACTAGAAAAAATGTGGAGGCACACTGAACAAATTTATGGCCCCACAAAGGAGCCCGTCAAATATTTAAAGTCAGCTTTCATGTTCCTCTATTTTTCTCTTTCTCAGGCTAAATAGTCCTGATCATTTTCTTCATTCTGTATATTTTACTTCAGTTACTATAGCTGAAATCGTCTGTTTCTTTTGGGTGTCATATCATACAATTGAAACATGAAAATTCCAGCAAATGCCAGAGTCTTTTACATAAAGCTGTATACATGTATGCAAATTATGTCCCATCAATTTTGCTACAGTATCTGATGTTTTTGAGAAATTCATTTATTCACCATCTTAAATTCAGGCATAAAATGATGACTAGGGTGAGGTTTATTCTCTAGTTGTCCTATCTCTTCTCCTCTTAAATAGGTAAGATTCCCTAAAAGATGACACCATATTTCACCAAACTTTTTATAAATAGAAACTAATATAGAATGAGAACAAACATATCAAATAGTTGAGTATCTTATTATGCAACCTGTATATAAACAATTACAGAGGAAGCTACAAATGTAATTTGCTAGACATGGACAATACTATACACCTTATACAACATACTCCTGATTCCCTGATGCTCTAGACTACAAACTCTTGCTTCTTGCTTTTGTTGCAGAGAAGTGCTTAATAAAGGATCCCAACTCCTCATAAAGTTATTTTGACTTGTGGAGGCTAACGTCAGTTTTGGATGAAATGACAGAAGTCATATCTAAATAACAATATAAATACAGTACCCTAAATATTTTTATTATATAAAGAAACTTGTCTTCAGAATTTGCACATCTATCCTTTGAATCTGACTGAGGAAATCTTGATAGCATAGCAAGTAACAATAAAAATACCCTAAATCCATATTATATAGCTCCTACACTTACTTCACAGCCTGGACAGGAAATTCTGGGTGACCTTCTTGGTTTCTCATTTAAGAAGGAGTAGGTATTAGAAATTCTCATGTTTGTAAGGGTGCCTAAAGAAAAATGTTAAAGCCGGGTGTTGGTGGTGTATGCCTTTAATCTCAGCACTCGGGAGGCAGAGGCGGGCGGATCTCTTCGAGTTCGAGACCAGCCTGGTCTACAAGAGCAAGTGCCAGGATAGGCTCCAAAGCTACACAGAGAAACCCTGTCTTGAAAAACAAAAACAAAAAAAAGCTATATGTTAAAAGCATACTAAATACTCAAACCTGGAAAGTCGGGTTAGAGAGATGGTTCAGAGGTTAAGAGCACTGGCTGTTCTTCCAGAGGACCTGAGTTCAATTCCCAGCACCCATGTGGTGGCTCCCAACCATCTGTAATGAGATCTGGTGCCCTCTTCTAGTTTATATGCATTTATGCAGAACACTATATATAATAAATAAATCTTAAAGAATGAGGTATTGAAGAAAAAATCCTGCAATGTCTATGAATATAATTGGTCATGCTTCTAAAAATCACAGCCTGAAAAAAAATGACAGCCTGGTGTGGTGATGCGTATCTGTTAAGTTCGAAGCCACCCTGGTCTACAGAGTGAGTTCCAGGACTGCTAGGGCTACACTGAGAAACCCTGTCTTGAAAAAATGAAAAACAAAAGATAAATAAATAAAATCACAGAAATATATTTTAATATAGAGAGTATTTGCCATTCCACCTATCTTCCCTGGACAATCATCTGGTGCAAGAAATTAAATATTAGAGAAAAATGAAGTGTTAAACTGTATAGCAATCTATAAGAACAAGGAGAGCATGGGAAAGAAAACAATAGGCATGCATTTGAATCATTTGGAAAAGCTGTTGGAATCGAGAAAACTTAAATTGGGTCTCAACAATGAGCAGACTAGGGGAGGAGGGGGGAAGGGACCTGGGATTGACATGTAAAATAATTTTCTTTCTAATAAAATTTTTAAAAAAACAATGAGAAGACTGACTGTGGGCAGGAGCAGGAAAGGAAGATATCTGGGAGGGGTGAACAGGATGGCCAAAGGTGAAAACCTACACAATCTTGTGGAGGTAGGGATCAATATACTTTGTACTGAGACAGAAATGAAACCGAGGACACAATATGCTTGTCGGCTAAACAAGCAAAGGGATGTTAAAGGAAGACTAGTTGTATTAATAGGGAAGTGAATGAAGCTAATAGTCTTTTAATTGTCTATTAGGGACTACAAGCACAGAAAAGAATGCTGATTAGCAATGGGGCTAATTTGTTAGATGGCGACAAAAGACACTTTATGATATAAAGAGGAGGAAAGACTTAATGTCTACTCTTAAGCATCTCTAGGGGTTGGGCAAGGAAGCACTGGTAGAAAACTATAATTGTCCGTGCTGTTACCTTGTCTGAGAAACAAAATTCATGTTGATAATAGCTGTAATCCCAATCAAGTAACCGAACTGCATTTTAATAGATCCCTTCAATGCCTCAACCTCAGGAGTGACAGGGGGAGAAAGTGATGGAGAGCGTCTCTCAACAGCCTCCCTCACACTGATACAATGGAGATGTTTGCTTACTCCGCTTACAATCACAGCCGCCGTCGCAAACTTCACCCTTAGAAAAATTAGGATTATTCCGGGAAAGATACCCATTCACCCTCTGGATAGCAGGATCTTGTCAGTTCCTCAGCTGTCAGAACGAGTTCGTAGAGAGAAAGGAGGCGCCTGAAGGAGGCGGCCTCTCAGGGGGGTCGAGGAAGCAGGTTCAATCGAAGAAGTAAAGCCACCGGTGCCAGAAGAGTTAAAGACAGGGAAGGGACACGGCTGAGGGGAGAGAGAGATCAAAGGACCATTAAGCCCCGCCCAGGCCGGGAACTTTGCCCCGCGTGGCCTGCTGCAGCCCAACCCCGCTCCCCAACGTGGAAGTCCAGGAGCTCCCCGAGCTCCCCCTCACCTGCTCAAGCTCAACAGACGACTGGAACGCGGAGGCTCCCACAGTAGGAAACAGCACCGCAGCGCCAACCCGGAAGCATTGAAAAGAACGGAAGTAACCAAGGCGTCGCCTCGGCAACAGTGGCGCAGCCATCCTAACTCCGCCCCCTCCTAGCCTGAAATGGAAGGCGCGAATGAAAGGAAACCACTAGGGTCACAAGACCAGAGTCCACACCGCTGTGATAAAGGTCGAGAGCCAGCCACCGGCCTTTCGGGAGAGGGAGCTAAGGCTTGAGAATGTGGCAGCTTCTGCAGCTAATGTGCTCACAAGAGAAGGCAGAGGCGATGCCTTGCCACCCACCCACCCACCTGGAGCTTACCAGAGAGAGCAGCCTCCAAAATGAGAGAGGGTGGGAGGGGCCTTATGTAGAGCGAGGTGGGGCAAAGGATTAAGATAAAAATGGGAGAATTTCTTTTGCCTGCTTTTGGGGGACCCTTTTCCTTCTATGGGTTGGCTTGCCGAGCCTTGATAGAAGAATTTGTGCATGGTGTTATTGTAATCTTTGCCATGTTTGGTTGCTGTCTGGAGGCCAGCCCTTTTCTGAGGGGAAACAGAGGAGCAGTGCATCTGCGGGAGGTGGGAACTGGGAGCAAGGAAGGAAAAGGGAAACTGCGGAAGGGTATATAATGGATGAGGGAAAAATAAAATATAAATACATTTTTAATAGGGAGACAAATTAAGATAAAAATGAGATCTAGGAGGTGAGCAGAATTTAGACACTGAATCCAGGCTCAGAAAGGAAAATTAGCATAAGGGAAAAAATAAGCCGCATCTACTGAATGTCAGGCAGCAATCACTGAAAAATCACATGCCTTGTACTCGAAGCCCAGAGACAGAAACTTTGGAACAAGCTGGGAACATAAAGGAGACATGAAAAGTTAAAACGAATCTGAAGAGAATAATGGAAGGGTGTACCAGTTAATCCACACCTCAAATTGAAGGGTGTACCAGTTAATCTACACCTCAAATTGGGTACAAAAGACTAAACACCAGCTTCAGACCCAAGTTCCCAGGATCACTATAAGAGAAAACTACAAACTTCTGGGTGAATCCATTAGCTAAATTATAGCTACCTCCAATTTTTTCCAATGTATCACAGTTAGAGTTACCCCAAGATCAGTTTTCACACTCACACGAGAGTTAATAATAGTGTTTATTACTTACATAAGCATAAGTTAGTTTGGCACACGGTTCTAAGAGATTTTTTTAATAAATTGATGTTTAAAATTCATTTATTCCAAAAGGATCTTCCTCATCTCGTTCACATCTACTTTTTTTCACTTAATTTTTTAAAAAGATTTATTTATTATGTATACAGTATTCTGTCTGCATGTGTACCTGTATGCCAGAAGAGGGTACCAGATCTCATTATAGATGGCTGTGGTTGCTGGGAATTGAACTCGGGTTCTCTAGAACAACAGCCAATGATCTTAAACTCTGCGCCATCTCTCCAGCCCCTTCACTTAAATTTTTTCTTCAGGCAGTACACATGATAATAGATGATATTATGGAGGTAGGGGATAATTTTGGCTCCTTATCTTTTGTGATTGTAATTATTGTTTTGTGAAAAAATAGAACTTTTCATAAAAATAAAATGTTTATCTTTTTTCTTTTATTGTGGCAAAATGTGTTATTTTATAGTAATTTGGAGGAGGGTGTAGTGTCACATGTCTTTAATCCCAGCACTCAAGAGGCACAGGCAGGTGGATCTCTGTGATTTCAAGTTCAAGAACAGCCAAGGCTGTTACACAGAGAAAACCCATCTCAAAAAAAAAATCGAGAATAATTTTGACTTACAGCAAAGTTATAAAGATACTATAGTGTTCTCTCATCAGCTTCTCAAATTGTTAAGATTTCCATAACTTGGCATGCTAATCAAAAGCAAGATACTTCTGTGATATAACACTATTAGCTAAACTATAGATATTCTCACTTCTCCAGCTTTTACATCAATTTCTTTGAACCACTAGTGCCCAATTCAGGACACTATATTGCAACTCTCTCTCTCTCTCTCTCTCTCTCTCTCTCTCTCTCCTTTTCCTCTTCCTCCTCCTTTTATTAAAAAACAGATTTTTTTCTCACATAATATATCCTGATTGTGGTTTTCCCTCCCCTCCCTCTACTCCTCCCAGTTCCTCCCAATCTCCCCTGCCATCCAGATCCGCCCCCTTTTTGTCTCTCATTAGAAAACAAGCAGGCTTCTAAAGGGATAACATAATTAATATAATGAGATAAAACAAAAACTAACACATAGGTGTCCTGACCCGCAGGACATCAACCTGGGGCAAGAGAGTCAGGGATAGGGAATGGGGACAAGAGACGCAGAAAGAACAACCACAAGACAGGATTCTGATCAAGTGGAAAACTTTATTTTTCTCAGGCTAGTTTATATAGTCAGTAGAGCAGGCTATGGGGAGGAGTAGAAAGGGTTGTTTGTGCACCAGGTGTTAGTGTAGGCAGGATATTAGGAAGCCACAAAGAGGATGTTTGGCAGGGTAAAGAGTTCATGAGTTAAAGCTCTAGGAAGGGTTGCCTAGGTGACTGAGCCTGTGAGTGGAGGACTGGGTCTTGAACTGAGGTTCTAAGGAGCTGCTATGTAAACGTTAATATACAACTATGTGGCTGGCCAAGAATGGCCTAGGATCTCATGCCAAGCCCTGAGAGCTTTGGCTCCCAACACATAGGAATTGGACAAAAATAAACAGAAGGAGAGACCAAGAGACAGAACAAGAAAGAGACCTACTCCTCTGCACACTCCGGAATCCATAAAAACAATAGACTGGAAGCTATAATATAGAACAGAGGACATGGTGCAGACATGCACAGGCCTTGTGCATAGTTGCAGATAATTTGCCCTTGCCAGAGCAGGTTTAGCCACTGACAGCCTAACACCAGGATATCCACATTGCATTGTAGGGGGTAAAAAAACCTCTCTCTGTAGTGGAGGAGGGTAGAGTAGAAAGGACCAGGAGGGTGACAAAGAGGGAGGGAGGCAACTCGTGCTTCTCTTGCCAGTACTTCCGCCCCATTTGTTCTCCTCCCAGTTTTGCTGCCCTGCCAGGACTGGCCTGCCCTAGACCTTGACTAGCTTGGGCGTCCTAAGCTGTCAGCTCCCCTGAGCTCCCAGAAGCATAGGAGCATGTCTGAGCCATGTGCACCTGCAGAGGGCTGTGTGTGTGTGTGTGTGTGTGTGTGTGTGTGTGTGTGTGT